TGGGGTGGCTGGCCCGGTGTCAGGTGGTTGGGAGAAGCAGGAGCTAATTAGTCTGGAGGCTTCTCCTTCCACTCCTTGAGTGGGAACAGTGAAAGTAAGAAGAGGAGGAGGAGATTGGATTTATACCCTGCCCTTCACTACCCGAAGGAGTCTCAGAACAGCTCGCAATCTCCTTTCCCTTCCCCTCCCCACAAACAGACACCCTAATAGGTAGGTGGGGCTGAGAGAGCTTTTTCGAGAACTGCTCATGAGAGAACAGCTCTGAGACAGCTGTGACTGACCCAAGTTAGTCAGTGTTTCATATTTATGAGTTTTGAAGTGATATTTGTGCAAGGAGTTTTCATGCCCCTGTCTCTCTATGCTCTGTGGGAGGAGGGGTTGACTGCTAACATATCTGCCTGTGTAATCATAGATTTCTGCATACCTGTTTTTTTTACTACTTATGCAACTGCATTACACGTTAAATAAAAATATGCTTGATAATTAGCAATGATTGGTGTTGCTATAACATTATTGCAATGTTTTGGTCTGCTGTGCAACTATGATTAAGCACACTGTCATACTTGATCCACTCTGTCTTTGAAATAAGGAGTGTGCTCACATGGGTGCTATTGTATGCTAGCACTAAAATGATGGCCGACAGATGTGCAGACACCTACACACAAGGAAGTAGGACTTGTTATAGGAGAGAAGATTGTTGATTGCTGACTTATGTGTAAATGTTGGCTTTCAGTCATTCATCCATTGGAAATATGGTTTAGCACCTCTTTTCCTGAGACTTTCATCTCTGTTTGTGCTCCTAAATTCCAAGAATCCTTCCTCAAAACCTTCTGTGAAACCATGAGGCTGGCTCCTGTACGTTTGGTGCTCCCTCCACTACAACTTTATTTACTTAAAAATATCTATTCCCTACTTTTCTCCCTGAAACAGCTTACAACAGGGGTTCCCAACCTTTTTCGGGCTGCGGGGCACCTTTGGGATTCTGACACAGTGTGGTGGGTGCAGCCACAAAATGGCTGCCAGAGGAGACAGAGCCAGCCAGAAAATGGCTGCTGCAGTTTACCTCAGGCACATGGCAAAGATCTGTGTGCTGTGATGGCAGTTGTTGCCAAAGCAAGGTTTTAAAAATCTGCACAGCCAATCAGAAGCCCTGCTGGGCAAAAGCCCCACCATCCACCACCCACTTTCTAAAAACAATTGGCAGGTGCCAGGAAAGACACCAGGTTGCGGATCTCTGGCTTACAGCAATAATTTAAAAAATCCCAGTTCAAATAAGACATTCAAATAAAATCAGCTGTATCTTGCTCTAGAACTTGAGCTGGTCCTGGATCCAGTAGGCCAGCTCATACAAGGCCACAAAGTGTGAATGAAAAGCCATTTGGCTTTTGCCCATCCTCTCATACCTCTAACCACACCAACGCTTTTTACCTGGAAATAGGAAGGGAAAAGAAATGCTCATCTCAGATGTTACAGCAGGAAGTAATATTCATCCCAGTCTTCCCTCCCTGAATCCTGTCCAAATATGCAAATACTGTGGGATCACTTCTTAGTCTTACCTGCTGTCCTGTACAGATCTCTTTGTTATGGGAACTGGAAGGCATATTGTCTTTTCCCCTTGATCCTGTATTCATAGATCCCCCCCATCCAACTGCAGTTGCCTACAGCAGGTGGTACTTTTGGAATAGGTGACACTTTCCCCATCTCTCCACTGCTACTGAGACGAAGTAAACATTATGATGTACATGTGGATCTACCTTTATGAATAGGCAGCTTTTCAGTGACTTAGTGTCAATTAAAGCACATGTCAAGAACGCCCACATAACTCACTTCTGTATTCTTGACATGTCCACGTGCCTTTCCCATAAGTAAACTGTCAGAAGTAAAAACAGACAAGATCATGGCTCTAAAACAGTAGTTGAATATTAATAGTTAATGAAATCTTGTAGTGGTTTGGTGTTAATAGGAAGGAGGTAAAATTACCAAAGCAGTTATTCAGAATGTAGATTTGTCCTCATTGGATCCAAAGAATTATTCAGTAGTTCTGTGAGCCCGGGGAGGCTTTATGTTCCTTTTGTCTCAGACAGCAGCCTGTGTGATGCATGGCAAACTGTATTATAATATTAAAGTTTCAAAAGCAGTCTGTGATATGGCCTTGGGTCGGGTTTTCCAAGGAAAAAATCATAAAGCCCATCAGCTTAGGCTAAATAAGGTTTGTGCCAAATCAGTCTTTTCAGTCTGTTGTCTCAGATCAGAAAACCAGAAAGATGTTGTGAA